AAAGCTATAACAGGGCACTGATATAAAGCAACCTTCTAGCTCAGGTTGATAGGTAGGTGGTGAAGGGTGCAAAGGACACATAGAAGGGGATCATCAGAGCCTGAAAAGTTAAGAAAGGAAATATGAAATGCCACTGCACAATTATTTGCTGTGGCCAGTTAGGATTTTTTACCAATTTCCAAGGAAAGAGAAATTGGAAATATTGGAGGCTTTCTGCATAATTGGGAAAAGATATTTAATCAAGCATTGTGTGTAGCAGCAAAAACTAGAAACAACCGACTTGTCCATTAATAAGGGATCTTGTAAATAAATGATAGTTCATGCTTAATATGAAATATTTTGCAGATTTTTTTAATGAGGTAGATTTCTATGATTAGACATGAAACAATGTCTAAATGAAAAAAAAAGGAGTTGGAGAATAGTTGTAATCCCACCATGGAGGGAGGATATATGTCTATAGATGCATAAAGAAAGGTCTTGAAGGAGATATAAAAACTTTTGATGGAATTTACATCTTGGGGTAGCTGGAATCTTTCACTTTTGTGATATAGATGCCTGGATTGTGAGGGTTTTAAATAATTGAGCATGTTTTTTATTTTAAATTCAGAAGAAACAAAGAATAACATTGAATTTTTAAAAGGACCCCTCTCTATATGTAATGGTTCCATCCATTTAGAGGACTCAGTCAATCTAAACCAATTGTTTGACTGCATTCATAAAGGCCCAAAGTTCTAGGCTGGAATGTGAATGGCTATCACAGTCAGTACTTGGGTGCCTAGGTGGCCTGAGATGGCAACTTCTTTCATGGGATGGGCTTCAGGATGGAGCTGCCTTCTTCTTTTTTAAAAAAATATATATTTTATATTTTTTACAGAGAGGACGGGAGAGGGATAGAGAGTTAGAAACATCGATGAGAGAGAAACATCGACCAGCTGCCTGCTGCACACTCCCCACCGGGGATGTGCCCGCAACCAAGGTACATACCCCCAACCGGAATCGAACCCGGGACCCTTGAGTCCGCAGGCTGACGCTCTGTCCACTGAGGGCTAGAATCACTTTTTAAAAAAACTAAAATAAATAGAACTAAAAGGTAAGTTCTCA